GAGAGAGAGAGAGAGAGAGAGAGAGAGAGAGAGAGAGAGAGAGAGGGATGTATGTGTGACGTAAGGGAGAGCACGCCGAGCATGTGTGAATGTACGCAAAGGTCGCATCTTTGTGTTGCAGAACTGAAAACTCTGCTTATTATTAAGAAGAAGAAGAAGAAGAAGAAGAAGAAGAAGAAAAGGAGGGACCATATTATGCTTAAAAACACACTGTGGTTTATGTTTCTGCTCAATGATCTTGTCGGTCTTCGACACTCTCCTCTCTCCTTACCAACTTTGAGAATCGCCCTCTCTTCAAATCAAACACAAATGAACATTTCATTATCATGACGATATTGGATATTAGAGGCTTATGCGTGCTTATAATATTTTTTTTGGACAGGTAGTATTTCGAGTTTAAGCAGGGATCTTCTCCTTTAAAAAAAAATCAAAGAAAAGGGAAATTTGTAAAAAGCAAATTGATAAGAAGAGGGAGGGACACACACATACATCAAGGGTTTATACAAATGTTTTAAAAGTACAAATTAAGTTATCCATTGGGAAAAAAAATGTTATGAAAAAAAAAGAGGGATGCTTATTGGGAACCTTGAAAAGCAATGAAATTATAATTTAATCGACTTTATGGCATTGAATAGACAGACGTACGAGTTGATGAATGCCCTTAATCACACAGATTTGCTGTTTTAAAAAATAATAAAGTGGGAAAATGGTATAATGCATCACAAGTGGAAGGCCAAATGTATTTTCTAAAATTGATTTGTAAACGAAAATCATAATAATTAGACAATCATTGTATAATTGATGTAATAATAATAAACAGAAGATCAGTAGACAGCGAGGACAAATGGTAAAGGTTTAATCATCTTCGTTAATCTTTAATATAAAGTAGTCTTTTCTTCTTACCAAGAAAAAATACTCATACTACTAACTATGTTGTGCTTTTAATTAATTAATTTTTTAAGAAAGAAAAAAAAGGAGAAACAAAGCCTCCCCTCCCCTTAGTGCGTGTGTATATATATACGGGGGAGAGATGGGAGGGGGCAGGGGGAAGAGAGGAAATAGAAATGGAGAGAAGAGCAGACCCAATCAAAAGAAGCGTAAGGGCTGAGGAGCTGCCGGAGAGTCCGAGAGGACCCATGGAGTTCCTGAGCAGATCATGGAGCCTCTCTGCCTTCCATATCTCCAGAGCTCTTTCTTCTTCTTCTTCTTCTGCTTCTGCCTGCACCACTTCTTCTACTACCACCAGTGCTATACCTGAAGGAGAAGAAGATACCCACCCACTCTCCCAAGAGCCTCCTCCCCCCGTTTATAACCATCCGCAGCTTGTTCTCGACCGCATCCTCTCCCACTCGGTACACACCTATATCTCTCTATATATATACATACGTGCTTCTTTATATATATATAAAAGAAAATTAATAAAAACAACACTCGGTTTACTATATATGGGTGGCAAAAAGGAAGTGGCGTCACCAACGGTAACATCAGGGAGGCTTTCGCACAGCAGCGGACCACTCAACGGCGGAGGCGGCGTTGGTTCTGACACTCCTCCCTTCTCTCCCTCTCCCCATGACTTCGACGACCTCCTCCAGGTTCTTTCCACTACATCACTTGCTTAAAGAATGCCTCGGTGATTTGGTCTCGTCAGACCGGGATTTTTTTTTGGTTATATAAAACCAACAGTAAAAAAAAGAAGCTGAATCGTCTCCGGTCCAGATGCCTTTGCTACAAAAGCACCCATCTCCACCCCCCCCCTTTTCCGACAAAACCCATATTTGACGACCTTTGACTTTATGTTTTGGTAGATCCCCAAAAACATATCAACCCATATCTATATACAAGAATCTTAATCCAATCTCGTACCTGTGGATCTCCACCATTACACATATACACGTATATAAAACGATCTTAGAAAAAATACTTGTTCCATACTAATTACCTAACGGTTGTCAAGTGTTCCATGTTCTATACAAATCTTTTAATCCTTTTCCCATTCGTGTATTGTGCTTGACCAAAATAAACTACAGACCGATAACATCACTCATTCATTGTCATGCTTGTAGTACTTTCGCACCCACAACACCATACAGCCCCTGTTCTCTGGTACAAGCGCCAGCCGTGGCGCCACCAGTAATGGCAATGCCACGCCAGTAGGCGGTGGCGGTGGACCAAAAACAGTAGGCAGATGGCTCAAGGACCGTAAAGAAAAGAAGAAGGAAGAGAACAGAGCTCACAATGCGCAGATCCATGCCGCTGTCTCAGTTGCCGCAGTTGCCTCCGCTGTAGCGGCCATAGCAGCAGCAACTGCTGCTTCCTCCTCTGGCAAACACGAGCAGATGGCAAAAATTGATATGGCAATGGCTTCGGCAGGGGCACTGGTTGCAGCTCAGTGCGTAGAGGCTGCAGAGAATATGGGAGCTGAGAGGGATCATTTGACGTCAGTTGTAAGTTCTGCTGTGAATGTTAGGTCCCACGACGACATTGTCACCCTCAATGCAGCTGCTGCAACAGGTATATATATGTACCAACCCAGGTTAAATTTAAAAGCCGTGGTACTCAAATAATGAACTTGCAAACAACATGATACCTTCCTGTTTCATGCCAGCTCTACGAGGGGCAGTCACATTGAAGGCGAGAGCCCTCAAAGAGGTTTGGAACGTCACAGCAGCCCTAACAACAGAGAAATCAACCACTGCAGGGATTTGTGGTCAGCTTACAACAAAGCACAGTGACAGTAGCTTTAGCGGAGAACTGCCTGTATCCGGCCAAGAGTTCCTAAGCATCTGTAACCAGGAACTGCTAGCCAAGGGCACTGAGCTCCTCAAGCGAACCCGTGGAGGTACTAGTTCCACTACGACTTGTTTTAGTGTTCATATTTGGTAAAACAGAAAAGCTGTTGACCTTGTTGCTTTTGCTAACAATGTAGGTGACCTCCACTGGAAGATTGTCTCTGTTTATATCAACAAAGTAGGTCAAGTGACACTCAAAATGAAAAGCAAACATGTCCGAGGGACCTTCACCAAGAAAAAGAAACGTAGGTCTCCTTATGAACTAGGACACTGCCATATAGTACATAAATAAAACCTGTTGAATGATGAGGCAGATTGCGTATTGCCATTCAAAAGTCCTGAGATTTGAATTTACATTGCAGATTTGGTGGTCGAAGTGAAGAGGGAAATACCTGCGTGGCCTGGTAGGGACTTATTGAACAGTGGAGAGCAGGGTTACTACTTCGGACTGAGGACAGAGACCACAAGGGTCATCGAGTTTGAATGCAGGAACCAGAGGGAGTATGATATATGGACTCAGGGGGTTTCCTGCCTTCTAGCCATTGCATCTGAGAGGAAGCAAATGAGTCCACAGTCCAACGGATGGCACCTGAATGGCGTGAACTAATACAATACAACTTCTCACTTTGATTGGAATACAAGCTAGCTCCCCAAGACCAGACAAGGTTTATCCATCAAGAAGCAGAGCAGAGAGACTCGACCTTTTCTAATTGTCCTTCATTAAGGAACTTACTTTCAATTAAACATATGGTTTCACCACATAGGTGACTTTCACAGGCAACAACCTCGCGAATATGACTATTGGTATTTGATATGCAATTAACAGCGATAAACTACTCTTTACAACCCAGATTTCCTTGCAGATAAAAGAATCCTGACACATGAAATGGACAAGAATTATATGGCATTCAATAAAGCAGGTAAAGTCGAATTGGAATATGGCCAACTTAGCTATCAGCAGCTCTAAACACAGTGAGCAAAGACAGGAAGAGATTGATCACGTCCAGATAAAGAGACACTGCAGCCCAGATGTACTCATCATAAGAATATCGCTTGATCAGATTGTCCGTATCGTAAACAATATAGCCGCAGAAGATGATGGATGCCAAACAACCATAGATCATCACCGAGATCTTTCCCAACGGGAAGAGAATCTGCATCCAAAAACAAACCACTCAAGTGCACACAAGACGCTGCCAACATACTGCGACAGAATGACGAGAGAAAACGATACCTGGATCAAGGCAAACACCATAAGCACAAGGATGGCACCAAACAAAAAGGGTCCCAGGAAGTTGAAGTCGTAGCCCCTCTTCGCAGCCCAGAATGTGTACCCAGTGAGCGATAAGACGACAACAGTCGTCAAAATCACAGACTCGAGAATGACCTTCCCTGTTGCATCGAAACCAATCACCGATTTGGTTATGCTTCTTATTAAACACTCGGAGAAAGAAGGCACCTCAAGATACACGCGAAATGGATACGCATCTTACCGCTTGTAAATGCACAGGTCAATCCAACCGCAAACGCGAGGGAGATGGTGAAAACAGAGAGAAGAAGATAATTCACAGGATGTTTCTGGTGATAATAATACAACGGACACAAAACTGCGCGCAAACGAAACAATTCATAATTAGAAACCCTAGGAAGCAAAGCAGACATAGAACCAAAAGGAAATAGAAATTACCAATCAAAGGAGTGAAAATGAGAAGAACGTAGAGAGCGAGGCCGGCGCCGGTGGTGGTGAAGAAAGTGGAGATGGGATGAACGGTGACGACGACGGAGGCGACGGCGATGGTGGCGAGAAGCTGGATAGAGATGATAGAATATACCTTTCGGATGAAAGACCAACGGAGTTCGGGGCTCTCAAGCATCATAGGATAGAGAGGCCTGGGTCCCGACTCCAAGTCATGCTTCCCGTACGGATGGTTCCACATCTTTTCCTGGGACCAAAGGGATCGGATCAGATGATGCGCTTCGGGAGAGACGAACAAACAAAACAATGGGAAACTTCCTCTGGGGGCTGTCTTGATCTAGATTTATACACGTCAACGTTCCCACCATATTCTATTGGGCCTTCTTTGGGCCGAAATGTTAATCTGGGAATTTCTATGGGCCCCACTTTTGCAATCTGGGCTCTAAGATGTTTTCATATAGAATTTTGGATGCATATGAAAATTTGTCAAAACATGGCGAAGAAAGTTGTATAGAACAGGGTACATTACTATTTACATAGATTATAAATCATATTTCTACTATAATCAAAATTCAATGGGATTAATACTCTCTTCTGGTGATGTAATTGCTGTTCTTGTTGTAATCATCAAACTTCAATATATAAGACCCGGTATTAATACCCTCTTCTGATTATACAATTTGCCCAACCATGCATTTCGGATACTCGGTATTCCAACCCAAGGCGTAGGCTTCTAGTAGGTTCGAGTCTTTTATTGTTTAAAGAGCCATTTTTTATTGAAATAATGGTTTAGATTTGAGTAAGACCGTCGTTATAAAATAAACTAATGCAAGTTGCATGGCGTGGCGAGCCACTTGTTCGCCAGATGAGCGTCCCCTGACACCGTGGCAAAACATTACATCTCCACGTGTCTCAGTCGATTTAGGTGAATCGGACCAATCAGCGTACGCAATCTATCTCTCGTATTTTTTTTTTCCCAGTTTGGAAAAGTACTTGGCTTTTTTTTTCCTTTTTCTATACTAAACAAGTTTTTTTTAAGTGCATAACTTTTTTTTTGGACTATATGCGATTTTGTTTACTATTTAATGGCCGCAACTTTAAATATCGTGATTAGTACATCAAAATATTTTGAATAAATCTACTGTTTTTTTAATTATAATCGATTTGGTTATAGTTTTATTTTGTTTGATTCAATAATCTTAAAAATCACAATTTTTTGTTTGTAAAAAAAATATATAGACGAAGCAACAAAATCGAATTGTAAAAACTATGGTGAAAAATAAAGTAAAAAAGCCTGGTTGGCTATAAATAAAATTTTTAAAACCACATACTTGTATTTCTTATATTTGCGAAATCTTTATAAAAAGTATTACCCTAGACAAATACGTTTTTAATGCTTTAAGTAGCATTGACTAGTAATTATGGTAATCTTAATTAATAATACGATATAAACAATTGATCCTTCTCAATATGTTTTGAAAGTCGACGGAATGATTTCAGTTGGTATGTGAGTACCGGTATAGCTCAAGATTCAGTTACATTAATACTGAAAAACACCACGATATTGCATAGATTATTATAATTTACTTGCTTAGGTGAGACAAAATGTACATTCTAAAAACATTTTAAACTGAGTTGGATTTTTAATAATCATTTTATTCAAAGTAAATAAACTAACATGATGCCACGTAGTGACACCAATAAAGGTTACATAATCATCATCAACTCCAAGAACAACAGATCAAAGATTCGCTGTATCGTAAAATCGTGGTGAACGTTTTATGCGAGAAAACAACGTAGTCAAAGATGAGCTACACGTGTCCACAAACATACAATAACTGACAAGTATAATTAAAAATTGGGGGCATTTATACCAATTACAATAGAAAATCTACAAATTCTGATGCCATATAATTTGTATACGTAAGTGTGTTCAATCAGCAAGTTTTTATTATTTTAAAAAATTATTTTCCACAGGATGTGCAAATGTTGGAGTACCAAAACAAAATAAACGTTGATATAATTCGAAATTTATATTTACGTGCACTTGGGGTTTGAAAAAAAAAATAGTGATCAAAATTTACATAATCTAAAGTCCTTTTGGCAGTATCTTTAAATTCTTTCAAGTCCGGGGCACAAGAGACGATGAGTTATGTTATAAATAAAATAAAATATGACGAAAATTAAAACAAAGGCACGTAAACAGAGATATATATATATATATATATATATATATAAAGGAGGCGAGAATAAAATATATATTAGAGTGTGCAAGAGACCCACGCTGGATGTAATTAAATAGTAAAGAAGCTCATTCGAGTGGAAGTTCCAGAACGTTCCTAAGGAGGAAGGGGCTCCTAATTGTTCCAGAACCTTCGAAATCTGGGTAACGTTTTTATTTAATTATCCATTGTGATGACTGTCTATTTAAGCCACCTCGCCTACGTGGCTTGTATCCTCCTCCCCCAACTGCCGCAAACTAACTCAAGCTCACCACTCTGCTTCCCAAATGGAATCTCTTTCCTTCTGCCTCATGTAAATTAATCCGATAAACGTCTCCTTCTCTTTCAAATTCGTCCTCAACCTGACATAATCGGGAGTCAAATCGAAATTGAGGGCCCCGTATGATGATGAATCCGTATTTTGCAGCGACAGGAGAGTACAGCGGCGGAGGCGGCGATCGACCGCCGAGGGGGATGGTGCCGCAGCCGATGGAGGGGCTGAACGAGATGGGGCCGCCGCCAGGAGGCGGCGATCGACCGCCGAGGGGGATGGTGCCGCAGCCGATGGAGGGTCTGAACGAGATGGGGCCGCCGCCATTTCTGACGAAGACGTTCGAGATGGTGGAGGATCCGGGCACGGACCACATCGTATCGTGGAACAGGGGAGGCACAAGCTTCGTCGTCTGGGATCCGCATTCTTTCTCCACGAATCTGCTCCCTAGATACTTCAAACACAACAATTTCTCAAGCTTCGTAAGGCAGCTCAACACCTATGTAAGTGTCGTCCTATCCTTGCTCTGTTCTCTGCTCATTTGGAAAAACAGACGAGCTTTGATTTCCTCTTGTTCTTCTAGTTTCTGGAAAACTTGAAGAAGAATTCTGGCTGCGACTACCAAAATAAAATTCCTGAGTTTGTTGGTAACGAGATTCGTTTGATTTGAGTTCTAAGTGTTCAAAGAGGAATCTGGAAAGTTCGGGAAACCACATCGACATCAAACCTGTAGATTTTGTCAGGTAGTGGATCGGAAGGAAGAAGCTATCGTAAGTTCTGGAAGCTTGATCTCCTTCGCAACTTGCCCAATAAAATAATCCTCACTAATGGTTTTATTTTAATAAAAAAATTCTTCCTTTTTGGGTGGGAGTTCCAATGTTCATATTTAATCGGGGTACCAAAACTCGGCTGGATATGATATGAGGCATTTCTCACCATCATTTATTCCTCCAAAACAATGCATAGCTTGATTTTTTTAATTAAACTTATACCATTCAATAAATAAGATTTTTCAGGCAATATGTGCGCACATACATAAAAAGGCTTGATATTAATTAATAAAATGTTTTGCGCAGATGGATATTTTTAGACTACGCCATGTCATCCTTTTTTTTTTTTTGTGGTTAATTTCCAGGAAAAATGGAAGTCGTTTTGATTCTCACTGAGATGTTTGATACTGTTCTGAATAGACTGACATTTGTGTTGGGGCAGGGATTCAGGAAGATAGATCCAGACAGATGGGAGTTCGCCAACGAGGCGTTCTTGGTGGGTCAGAGGCAGCTTCTGAAGAACATAAAGAGGAGAAAAACGCCGCCATCGTCGTCTCCATCGCTTCTGATGGGAGAGCAGCAGGAACCCTGCATCGAGGTGGGGGGGTTTGGAGCGACAGAGGGACGGGAGATGCAGCGGCTCCAGCGAGACAGGCACGTCCTGATAGCGGAGGTGGTGAAGCTGAGGCAGCAGCAGCAGAGGACCAGAGCGTACCTGCAAGCCATGGAGGAGAGGCTTCAGGGGGCGGAGAAGAAACAGAGGCAGATGATGTCGTTCTTGGCGCGTGCCATGCAGAACCCTTCCTTCTTAAATCAGCTGTTGCAACAGAGGGACAAGAGGAGAGAGCTGGAGGAGGCGGCCTGTAAGAAGCGGAGGAGGCCGATAGAGCAGGGGCATTCGGTGAAAGCAGAGCCATTGGAAGTGTCGGAGCTGGAGGCGCTTGCTCTTGAGATGCAGGGCTTCGGTCGGAGGCATGACAGGGAGCTCGACCATGGTTTCTGGGAAGAGCTTCTTAGCAACGAGAGGTTCGAGGGGGAGCTCCAGATTCCAGGAGGCGACGATGATGAAGATGAAGAGCACGTCAACGTTTTGGCTGATAGGTTTGGGTATTTGGGATCCAGCCCCAAGTGACCGTCTCTCTGTCTGTACCATAACTCTCTCACATTTCCTTTTACTCGAGATTTTGTCATTCCCCCCCTGTGGTATATTAATTGATTTTCACGTTTTTCTAAGTCTCTCTAGTTCCCCGGCGGTTTGCTTTCAGCCAACGGTAGAAAATAAAAGCGTATTCTTCGGGGTCTTTGTATAAATTACTTTTTCTGATATTTCATAATGTAAGCGGATACTAAAATTAAATTGGGAATGTCCGTGGACATAGATTCTTATTCAGGTGGGGTCATGGGCCGAATCTGACCCACAAGTACATGCGAGGGAACGCATAAATGTTGAGGCCCAAGACACGTGGCCGTAACAGATACTCGGATCATCCTGCTCGTGGTCCGAACCTTCTCTACCTCTGGGCAGAGCATGATCCTACGCCACACGACACAACCACAATTTCCAACGCTCCATTCTTTGGTCAGATATTTTTCATGCGAATATATTCACCATGTTACATGGTAATCACCGACAACGTATCTGATTCCATAGGCGAGCTCGAACAATTATGCGATTCCATCAGACCTTTAATCTTTATGATAATTTTACAAAATCAAACAGCGTAATTTTTTTTTTTAATCTTACAGTCAGATAAGGCCCGGTGAAGTAGGTCACTGATAATGCGTTTAGTTAGAAGATACTTCTGCCGGCTATGTACTCTGCTTCTTCGATGGCAACTCGGGCATGTTGCTCCATTCCGACCGAACCATCTTACCGTCCCAGGTTTAGCCACATCCGAAGAGTCTCATCTCTCGGCAATGCCAGAAATCTCGTCCCAGTCCCTCCTTCAAAACCCCAACGCATCGAAGGCGGCTTTGACGAAGCTTCTCCAAGTCTTGGCAATTTGTTTTCCAGCGGCGATGACTACCCGGACCAAGCTTATGCCTCTCTTCTGGATCTTTGTGGAAGCCGAAGATCTCTCTCTCAAGTGCGGCAGCTTCACGCCCGCATTTCCAAAATCTGCCCCTTTCATTATTCGGGTTTCTTGGGCGGTAAGCTCGTGTTCGTGTATGGTAAGTGCGGGTCTCTTGATGATGCAGAGAAGGTGTTTGACAGAATGCGCGTGAGAACGTCGTTTGCATGGAATGCAATGATAGGAGCTTATGTTTCCAACAATGAGCCTGGTTCAGCTCTTGGTGTTTATCGGCAAATGCTGGGTGAGGGTGTTCCTGTTCATGTTCTTTCTTTCCCTCTTTTGCTCAAAGCTTGTGCCATGGTTGGAGATCTCAAGAGTGGGACCAAGCTTCATGGTCTCGTTGTTAAACTTGGGTACTGTTCAACAATTTTCGTTGTAAATGCATTGATTTCCATGTATGCAAAAAATGCTGACTTGAATGCAGCAAGGCGGCTGTTTGACAGATCTGAAGATAGAGATGATGTCGTTATGTGGAACTCCGTTATATCTTCATACTCCGCGTCTGGGCAATCTTTGGAAGCTTTAGGGTTCTTCAGAGAAATGCAGATGAATGGTCCTGCTCCCAACAGTTACACTTTCGTTTCAGCTCTCACGGCTTGTGAAGATCCATCTCATTCAAAGCTAGGTAAAGAAATTCATTCCGCTGTCCTGAAATCAAGTCATTCTCATGACGTATACGTGTGCAATGCATTGATTGCAATGTATGCTAGGTGTAGCAACATGGTTGAGGCAGGAAGAATCCTCAGCCAGATGGATGAAAATGATATCGTGTCCTGGAACTCTATGATTGTGGGTTTTGTACATAATTGTATGTATACTGAGGCCTTCGCCTTCTTACGGGATATGATGGCTGCTGGCCACAACCCTGACGAGGTCTCAATGACCAGTGTCATTGCAGCCTCTGGTCGATCAGGCAATCTGTTGGCAGGAATGGAATCACATGCTTATGTTATTAAATTTGGCTTGGATTATAATCTGCAGGTTGGAAACACGTTGATAGATATGTATTCAAAGTGCAGCTGCACAGATTACATGGGGCGTACATTTTATTTGATGCCTGATAAAGATATGATTTCTTGGACCACAATAATCTCTGGTTATGCTCAGAATGATTGTCATACAGAGGCCTTAGGACTCTTCCGGGTTGTTGCTCAGGAACAGATGGAGAGTGATGCTATGATGCTGGGTAGTGTCCTTCTGGCTTGTAGTAAACTAAAGTGCATGCTCCTCGTAAAAGAAATTCATGGCTACATCTTGAGAAAAGGTTTATATGATACTGTGACACAGAATGCTATCGTTGATGTATATGGGGAATGTGGGAGCATTGACTATGCCATTCAAATGTTCGAATTAATGGAAGACAAAGATGTTGTGAGTTGGACAAGCGTAATATTTTCTTGTGTCAATAATGGGAAAGAAAATGAGGCTGTTGAACTCTTTCATCGGATGGTTGAAACTGGTACCGAAGCTGATTCTGTAGCACTGGTAGGTATACTGTCTGCTGCAGCAAGTTTATCTGCCCTAAAGATAGGGCTAGAAGTTCATGGGTGTTTGCTCCGGAAAGGTTTCTGTTTGGAGGGATCCACTGCAAGTGCACTTATTGACATGTATGCTCGCTGCGGAGATTTACAGAGTGCCAGAGCTGTATATGATTTAGTTGAAAGGAAAGGTTTAGTGCAATATACAAGTATGGTAAATGCGTATGGAATGCATGGCCATGGAGACTCAGCCGTTGAGTTGTTCGCTAAAATGAAGCATGGAAATATCATTCCCGATCACATCGCATTTCTAGCACTTCTTTACGCATGCAGCCATGCGGGGCTGACTGATGAGGGTAGAAATTTTATTGAGATTATGGAACATGAATACAATTTGGTACCATGGCCTGAACATTACGCGTGTCTGGTTGACATGCTTGGCCGGTCAAATTGTGTAACAGAAGCCTATGAGTTCGTTAAAAGCATGAAGACAAAACCAACTGCTGAAGTTTGGTGTGCTCTCCTTGCAGCTTGCCGAGCTCACTCAGAAAAAGAAATAGGAGAGGTTGCAGCTCAGAAGCTCCTTGAACTAGATCCCAAGAGTCCCGGAAATCTTGTCCTTGTGTCCAATGTCTTTGCTGAGCAAGGAAGATGGGAAGATGTTGAAGCTGTGAGGGCAAAGCTGAAAGCGAGTGGATTGAAGAAACACCCTGGTTGTAGTTGGATCGAGATCGACAGAAAGATCCACGCATTTATGGCAAGAGACAAGTCTCATACAGAGACCAACGAGATATACAATAAATTATCTGAGATAATCAGGGAGTTGGAGAGGGAAATGGGATATGCAGCTGATACAAAGTTTGTTCTGCACGATGTGGATGAAAAGGAGAAGGTTCAGATATTGCACGGGCATAGCGAGAGGCTAGCCATTGCTTATGGTCTGCTCAAAACGCCCGAGGGAGCCCGTCTTCGGATCACAAAGAATCTACGTGTCTGCAGTGATTGCCATACTTTCTGTAAGCTGGTTTCAAAGTTATTCAGACGACAACTTGTGATTAGGGATGCCAATAGATTTCACCATTTTGAAAATGGGGCGTGTTCTTGCGGAGATTTCTGGTAAAACAAAGTCTATTCTCAGTATAAGTGCTCCTCCAAGTTTAGTTTGTCAAAAGATGGTGCTCTTTTGTCAGACCAAGATTATTTTATCATTTGGTTAGCTCAACAAACCTTGACAAAGGCTTGCATATGGTTATTTGCTTCATGCGCTTCACCAAGAACAAGGCAAAGGAGACATCTTAGGTGTGAAATTTTTACCTCATTTAGTTTCATGCATCTGTATTTGCTCACAGGCAAATCTGCTGTTACTTATATGAGATATATTTCAAAACTATCTGTGTCGCGTTGGTATGAAATGGGTGATCCGCCTAGGTTTGAAGAGGATTACACTACTCTTTGAATGAAAGCCAATGTCAATTTTTATGTGAATTATTTTTAAAAAGAGTAAAAAGTTTTAAGATCTGCCAAATGTTTAATTACCACTTACCACTTCTTATGTTTCTTTGTCGGATTGTAGGTGCTCTAGCCCTCTCGGTTTAAAGATTAAGAAGACGCGTCTCATCTTTATTGCACATCTCTGCAACTAGAAAAAAGTCGGGTAAGCCACAGAAACTCTTTTCATCTTATCAATCTAGTCCTGTTCTGTATGTGTTGCACCATTAGCTGTAGATGTAGAAAGCTTCTGCACAGAGTATGAGAGAGAGAGAGAGAGAGAGAGAGAGAGAGAGAGAGATGCAAGTAATTTGAAACAAAAAGAAATGACGTTGACCAGACATATAGGAAGGGAAATAAAAGCATCGGCATTTAAAAGCCGGAAGCAGAAGCCTAGACATGAGATGAAACTAGATATTGTAGTCGTCAAACTAGGTTTCTCTGTTTCCCATACAGACACTAAGCACAGTTAACTCTTTAATGCAGAACAACACTAAACACCCTTTACTCATTCTAAGATATTGCATCATTTTACTAAGTGTCTAGTGAAATACCATGGAGCATGACGCTTGTTTTATTGGATACCTAATGAATGGAGAAAACGAACAGCAGAGACGATGTTCAATAACCATATGATCAAAGCAAAACTTAAAGATTAGGTTTTTAACAAAAAAAAAAACTTAAAGATTAGGTCTTGGAGTTTTTTTAGTTCAAGGAGTCAACGTTCAAAATGGGGGAAGGTACGAAACCTGTTTGCTGTTAGAGAGAGAGAGAGACATTAGAGGAAGAAAGAGAGATGTAACACAATAAAGGAGTATATTTAGGGTCACAGGTGGTGGAAATATAGGTATGCAGAGAGGGCCGAAGCTCTAATCTCTTCTCTTCATAGCCCTATTGATTTTGTCTCTCTTAGCTGTATGCATGATGATGCCTTCTTTTAATTCACTGTTTCAGTCTTCTTTATTTCGTGGTCTCTCTCTCTCTCTCTTCTTTTTCAACCCTCTCTCCAAAATTTTAACGTCTCTCCGTCAACTCTTCCTATAAGTAGTCACAAAGCACTCAGCGACAGCACAACACCTTCTCTTCTGTTTCACCTTTGCACTTCCTTTCCTCTCTCTGCCGTGTCATGTCTTGTTTCTCTACGCATGCTCCCCTTCTCTTCTCATGGCATCTTGCATGTACATAGTTCTCCAACGTCTTTATGTTTCAGCTTCATCTAACCTAGAAGTTTCTCCTTAGTCATCATGACAATTTTCGTCGTCTTCCATGCATGGTCCTTCGTTTTATATCTTGATAACATGTCTTGATGACACAAATATATGTTAGAATTGAAGTGCAGGAGTGTTGGCTTAAGCCCTTCCGAGAAGTCCACTGAGGAAAAAGTGAAGCTGCCAGCATGATCTATCTTTTGGTTAGAGAATGAGTGGAGACACAATGCTAACCCAAAGCTAGGTCATGCTCTGACAGCCTCATTCCTTCCTCATTGGGCACATGCCAAGTCTCAAACATTCCATTCAAAACAAGCAAAAAAGCCTGACCAAACGCCAACTTCTGTGAGTGTCCTCTCTGTCTTTCTATCCCCTCCTGGTTCTCAACGTATTTCCTGTGTTTTCTGCACACGTATCCTCTTCCCTTTATATTATTACGTGCAATAACCGCAATGTTTCATGTTGCTTTAGGTTTAACAAAAAATAAATCGTATTACATGTTCCCCACTGGACTTACATTGTGCAAAGCAAAAAATGAACTCTCAAAAACATACAACACAACAACACAGTGCACAAGAACCCACACCTCCTTATATTTCGTATGTAAGAAGAAGAATCCTCATTTTCATCTCTTTGAAAGAGACGAAACATCTAGTTCTAGAATACCAAGTTAGGTTTGAAGTGTAGATAAAGCCGGAGTTTCCCTCAAGTCTGTACAGTAATAAGTCAAAATTTGTCTCACCACCCGCCACACCAACTTTCTTCCTACTAAGTTCAACACGTATTTCTAGTTTCCCTGATTTTGCAAGGGTAGGATAGAAAGGTACCATGCACGTATCTTCTTGTACCATCTTTGAAGACTTGTAGTGTCGTTTCCGGATTAAAGGTACTGTGTAAATATGACTTTCCAATGGTTGCCTTGCTATGTAGGCAATCATGATAGGGAATGAAGTGTCTGAACCTAACCTTGTCTCCGTCCACCACTAACAGCATGACAAACATCTCTTCGGCCACCGTAGCAACTAAGTTTGGACTTTGGAGTTCGTCTTTGATTTCTTGTTCTGCTTGTAAAAGTTTTCATCTTCTCAGACAGCTCCCTATCTTTGCTCCTGGTTTACTGATTACACCAGAGAACTGTTAGCTGGGTATCTACCTATGCCTAAGTGGTTTATCTAAGAGGGAGGAGCCTTCTGAACTTTTAAACAAAGATGTTGGACTCTTTAGGTAAGAGAGGAAAGGTGTTTTGGAAACGGGTATGAACTTCATGAAAAAGCCTATTGGCCAAGAAAGAGCTGCAAGTCCAATGCAAACACCCCATTGCCACCCGGTCAGCCTTACAGTATCAGCAAACTTCTTTAGGAATTCCACCATAATGACTTGAAGAAGGATTGTGATGGCTATGATTCCTATGAACAACTTGTTCCTGTGAATACCTTTGAACACGTTTCTTTTTTCCATCTCCCTTGAGTTGAATTCATTGAAAACCTGGGAGAGCACGAAAGTGTTGAATATGAGAGTGTCTTTCACTTCCTTGCTCACGTTGAAGATAGACCTACCCTTGAATTGGAAAATCAAGAGTATGGTTATCTGATAAAGTGACTGAGCCAGGAGATTCCTCCACATTATGTTTGTTATAAGGGGCTCAGTTCTGCCCACTGGCTTTTGCTTCAGGAGCTCGTTTGTAGGTCGCTCAGTGGCGAGAGCCAGAGCTCCTAGAGTGTCCATGATGAGGTTCACCCATAGCAGTTGAACTGTTGTCAATGGTACCTCTCCTG